GCTGCTGCCTTTCCCTGCACCCCTTTCTCCTAAAGGTGGGAGAGACGTTATGGATCAGGGGGCAGTCCTGGGTATTAGTTGTTTGTTTATGGACTTTTCCCTTCTGTGCTTTTGTAGTTGAGCAGGATTAAAGATCTTCTAAAGCAACATCTGAGCCTTTAGTCAATCTTTTCGTTTTCCTGGCAGTTGTGCAAAACTACAACTCCAGATGAATGCCGGGGTCTGTCTTCTTGTATCGTGGTTTGCGCACTCCCTTGGGTTTTTCTTCCCAAGGTTTGGCATGTTGCAGTGTTCCAGAGTGAATTAGCAGCCTGTCCTTTTTTTAGGAAAACAAAGTTTTTTGGGGCAGGGAGTAGCATTTGTGTATTCTGTTACTGTGGGTGGCCTTCAGCTCGCCGGGGTCCTTTAAACAGGAAGAGAACTTCGCTAAAGACACAGTTTTTCACTGCTGTGGAGGTCGTGAATACTTGCTTGACTGTGCTGTTTAGATTTGTGATTCCGAGAAACAAATTAAACCTCCAAACCATTTAAAATAGAAATTCAGTGGCTTTTTGCAATAAAAAGGATGTGTAAGCTTCCAAGTGGGACTGATAACTTGAAAATTAATGTGCAGGAAGAAAAAGAGTCGTTTCTTTTGTATGTGATACCTGAAGTGTGGTCTGGTTGCGGAGCAGGGCATATTACGATAGTTTACATCTGTTTGTGGAATGCTTCTCTCCATGCATTTATTAAGTGATACTTACCCCTGCTTATCCAGGGTACGTACTGCGGCGTGTGAAACTGGCCGTCGGGCTACGACGCTGCTGTTACGCCACTGATGTTTTCAGGCTTCCGAGCCCTGTGTGTCAAGAGCTTGTACAACTTTTCACGGATTCTCGTTTATGCTTGTAACTAGTAACTCTGCTCCAGCTTATTGACTGCTGACCCCAGGTTTTGTACACAGGGATGCACCGTAAGCCAAAGCTCTCGGCAGCCCGAGGGCTCTGCTGTTTTGCCGTGTGCTGACTCTCCCGAGTGTTTTCCGTGCAGAGCGTGCGTGTTCCTGCCCAGGTGTGTTTCTGCCCCTGGTGCTGGGGAAGCGCAGCTTCTGGTCTCTGAGAACAGCTCCAAAGGATCTAGAGGCACTATGGTTGAGATGCCGCTAAAATTTCACGTCGGCACCCAGCAAGAGGATTTTAGGGGACGGAGAACCTGTTGCTGCCGCCTCAGTGTTGTGATTTTCGGCGTTTGATGGCTTTGATATCTGCAGTAATAGCCCTGTGCCTTTGGTCAGCCCTGTCCTGCCAGGAGCCAGCTTGTGCTCCTTTCTGCATGGTCCTGTGCTGTTCATGTTTGCCAGCTGGAGCACGGTTTGCACCACGGCGCCGTGCACATCAGTCACCCTGGGAATCGTTTATCTGTCGCGAATCTGTAGCTTGTCACTTAAACATGACAACCCGCTGAGCCGGCAGGGCAGAGCGCGTCGGTGAGCTCACCATTGTGCGTGGTGAAAGGCACATGTCCACCGCGGCGACAGCGGGAGCGTTGACGAGCCAAATTCAGCTGGATTTGGAAAGGATTAAAGAGCCCACTAAAGCTACAGATACTGGAGCAGCCCCAACCTGTAAAAGCTTCCCAGTACATCAGCCCAGAAGACACAGCTTTTCAAAGGAGAAATTCAACAGGACAGGACATTGGTGTGTTGCACCCAGTAACCTTTAGCACTCGTACCAGCCCCCCTCCCTCGGGAAGCTGCAGTTTCACAGCGGCAGGACTTGCTGAGGCGAGAGAATCGAATGGGCTGTGCAGCCGAGAGATGTTTTATTTCCAGAAGTTTATAAAATTGAGCAGTCTGGCGCTACCAGTGATGGACCTGATTTTGAAGAGATAAAAGAAACGTAGTCCAGGGAGTCCAGTGTGAAGGCGGAAATGCCGAGGAGGCGGTTTGTGTTCTGTTTACCCATAAGTGATGACATGTGGTGTAGGCTCTAGAAACTGAATGCCCAGGTGAATTCAGATTTCTTTGTAAACTCCCTAAAGCAAGTTTACAGCAGCGTGTTTCTGGAATCCCGCTGCATGGGTGGTCTTTGAAGACTCCAAAAGAGTGCGTTTTGCACTAGATGGTTTGGATTTTAGGTAAGTGTGTGTGTGTATATATATCGTTATTTGGCTTGCAAAAAAAAAAAAGAAGACGTGATGGTGTGTCTCAGATGTGGCTGTTTTGCCAGGTGAGTTACCGGCAGGAAGCTAGTATTTGATTTTTTTCATGTTACTGACATTTGCTTGCTGTGTGATGATTTAGCCTCGTAATGCTGCAAATTCAGTTGAGAGCTGGCCTATGTTAAATCAGTGGCTCCACTGCCCTTGTCTTTTTTATCTTTTTATATTTCTAGCTGCAGATTTGTGGTGAGATTTAGAATAAAATCTAAGAGCAGCCATTTATGTTCTTGCTGCTGATTTCATTTAAATAATGTACGAGACATAATCTGAGCTTCTGTTTGCTTTTCTCAATGCACAAAACCCCCAAGTCAGCGTATGACAGCTTACAGGAAAGAGAAACAGCCTGTCAACAGCAAACCTGATCACAGAGGCTCATACAGCTGACCGAACATAATTTTATCTTACCTTCGCTGTAATCTCTGAACTCGAAGCAATTGCAGTAGTAACTATCCTGAACTTTATTTGCTCTTTCCCACCGTGCTGGACTGGGTGTGTGGTTTTTGCACGTGCCTCTAAGTTGAGGAAAGACCAAACCTTGTGAACGCGCTGTCAGAACTGAATCGCTGGTGGGAAATGGAAGGACAAGCTCCGTGCTTTCTTCTCGCGTCGGCTGGCGGCTCGTTCCCCGTGTTGTTTCTGAGGTGTATCTGTCTCCGCTTGCAGTTACTATGTGGGCAAGCTGCTGTAATTGGTTCTGTCTGGATGGCTCTCCTGACGAGATGCAGCCGCCGTCGCCACCAGGAGCCCGAGCCCAAGCCTACTCCAACCCCGGCTACAGCTCCTTCCCGTCGCCCACCGCTGCGGAGCAGAGCTGCAGGGCCTGCGGGCGGCACTTCGACAGCTTCTCCAGGAAGGTGAGTCCAAACGGCTTCTCTGGCAGTGAGTTTAATTCCGAATCACAGAGTTAGTGAGGCTGGAAAAGGCCTCTGAGACCATCAAGTCCGGAACGTTCTGGACTGGAAGAAACCCTCTGAAGAGGAACAAGTGCACTTTAGAGGCCTCTGACTTGAGGATGTGCCGTATGGGAAAAGCCAGCTTGCCTCTGCTGCTGTCTTTGGTTGTTCTTTCACAATTAGCAGCCGAGTTAAAGACACTTGGAACAGTGGTAGTTAACATTCAGTAGCTTTGGCTTTCCTGGGCACTGAGAGAAGAAAGCCAAACTGCTTACAGTCATTTAAAGGAGCATTAACACAGGGGTAAAAAAAAGACCAAATCCATTTTATCTTGTTTGTAAACCATGTTTGTGAGCATATGGACCAAAATAATTGTTACCACAAGACTTTTAATTAGACAGCAAACCCTGCCTGGGACATTATTTGGGCATGGTGGTTCCTGTAATACTGCTTGAAAAATGTTTTAGTGGGGAAAACTGTTCAGCCTCCACACTCTGTAGCTTCAGAAGTCTCTTATATAGAGGATGTTACTGGATTTAAGAATGTGAGCACTTAAGAATTATGATGAGTTTTGGTCACAGCTAGAAGGATTAGAGTGGGGGACGTTTCAATAGAGCCTGTAGTTATAAGATGCTTTTAAGTAACTGGTGAAGCATCTTTAAAGGGTGTAAAATTTATTCACAGTAGTAAAAAATCTCTGAGGTTTTTTGGTGTTTTCCTTCTCTTCGATGACTCTTTTGAACTTGGCTTTCTGCAGCACACTGATTCCACAAAATCTTTTAAATTTCCCTCTCTGCTGATAGAAAGCTGTGCCAGGCATTCTCAGTGGGTATGCTGGATTGCTCTTCCTCCCTCCCTCCCTTCCTCCCTTCTGAATTCGGGGCCTTACACTGGCTGACATTTTCAGGAAGATGCTTTTCTTTGCATGCTTACGGAAGTGGCTCCTGGCAAGCTAGTGTGTAAGATTTAAAAAACAAAACAAAGCCAACCCTGAGCACCAGTAGCCATAGTGAAAGCTCAGCTCTTGCCATTGCTTCATTCCGCCGAGCCTGCGGAGCAGAGCTGTGTCTCAGCCTCGCCCCGGTGTCTCGGGGAGCCTCGCTGTGAGAGCAGAGCACCAGGAGTAGCTTCTACTCTGGACAGACTTATTGCAAGCATCTCTCTTCCGTTTGACCATCATGTGATTGTGCTGCCAGTTAGGAAGCATCATTCAGAAGTGACCTGAGCTTTTAGTCCCAGGTTTGAATTTACACCGACATTTGGAACTAATTGCTCGGAAGAGACCGGTGTCTTCAGTCAGAGTTCGACAAATACAGTGAAACTGTAAAAGCTGCTTAATGCTGGCCTGTGGCAAACAGCTGCTGTGCGTGTGTAAATACTTGGGGCTCAGATCCAAGCTGGGGAAACGTTTCCTTTGAAGATGATTAGAAATGAAGGTGATCTTTCATGAAGATGATTAGAGGGCTGGAGAACCTCTGCTGTGAGGACAGGCTGAGGGAGCTGGGGTTGTTCAGCCTGGAGAAGAAAAGGCTCTGGAATGACCTAATAGTGGCCTTCTGATATGTGAAAGGGGCTACAGGAAAGCTGGAGAAGGGCTTTTTTTAAGGGCCAGTAGTGACAGGACAAGGGGCAAGGGCCTGAAGCTGCAAGAGGGTAGATTTAGATTAGAGGGTAGATTTAGATAAGGAAAAAGTTCTTCCTCATGCGAGTGGTGAAGCCCTGGCCCAGGCTGCCCAAGGAGGCTGTGGATGCCCCATCCCTGGGAGGGCTCAAGGCCAGGTTGGACGGGGCTTGGAGCAACCTGGGCTGGTGGCAGAGAGGTGTCCCTGCCCACGCAGGGGGTGGAACGAGATGAACTTCAAGGTCCCTTCCAACCTGAACCATTCTGTGATTCATAGAATCATGTGAATCCTAATGGTGAACTCCTAAGCCAGAGACACGCTTGGTTTGATTTTGACTTCTCAGATAACTAAGGCAGACTTGGGTTATTGCTGTTAATTGCCTGCAAAAACCGTGCCGAGTAAAGCAGCCCTTGTGCTGTGCTGGCTGACGTGACACCTAAACGCACGAGTACTTGTGAAGGGATTTTCCGGCCGGAGAGTCCTTGCCTGCACGGAGGTTCCCTTTGGAGCCCCTTGGGCAGTCAGCAGAGCAGAGGGGAGGCTTCCCCTGCCAGATTCTTTTTGGTTTTTTTTTCCCCCCTCAGTTTTTCTACTTGCTCCCCTGTCAGAGATGGGTGATTGAGAGAGGGGAGTTGCTGTCAACAGGGTTATTTTCCATTACTCTGAGTGTTTGTTCGCCCGCCCTACACACAGGCACAACCAGTAGTTCCCGTCTCTGCCCTGAAAACTGCCCGAGAGACTGGATTGCTCCTTCAGTCTTGGGGTCTAAAGAAGTCAGGTACATATGAATGCTTTTTTTAAAATGACCAAGTTCAGGAAAACTTCTCAAAACTGGGCGGTGTGTGGAAATTGCCCTTCCTGTCCTGCCTTGTGATTGATGAAAGCCCCTTTTACTCAGCAGGCCTCCAAGCAGCAATTCGGAGGTGAGGTTTTCAGGTTGCATGACCAGAGGTTTTCTCTGTGGTAGGGACTTTCATGTCTTAAAATGCTGAGGCACGAAATTGTGATTCTTTCCACTGACTGTCGTTATGAGTCTGTTACAGGGGCTAAATGAGCCTGTGGGTTCTGATTGCAGGGGCTGTGGGGTGAGGGGGCTGCCAGGCTGGAAAGGGGACCAGAAGGAGCCTATGTAAGGGAGTCATGTGATTGCACCTTTCAAAACATGAGAAACATCTGATTTCTTTGAACTGTCAAGTTTAAAATGTTCCTTAATCGCTAAAAGCAGTTCAGGAAACAATTTTTCTTTGCCTCTGAGTTTGTATTTGTTGCTTCTCCAGCTCCACGTGTGTATTTTCCCCGTGTGTAGCTCTGAAGGGCCAGGAGGTCAGGGTTTCACAGAGATGCTTGTCTCCTCTGAGACTGTGAATTAGCATTTTTAACCGGCACTGAAACCAGTTCTTTCTTCCCTCAGGACTTTTTAAAAGACGCGTAATGTGGCTGTTCTGCTGCTATTCCCATTGGAAAATGTAGAATTTGGCTTTCCAAAGTGTTGAACAGTCAAGTTTCTGCAGAAGTCAACATGGACTGTGAGTGCTTGGAACTTCTGAAAATCAAGCCCTGAGCGATGAGACCAGACCTGTATAAAGTATAAGCATTAAACAACAGAATTTGAGCTGAAAGTTTTTAAACATCTGGGGCCTAATATTTCCAAAACTTCCAACACTTTCTGTCTAGCACCTAGCCAGCATGCGGCGTGCACGTTATTTTCAGAATGAGCTGGCTCTTTTTGTTGCATAAATAACTGTTGAACTCTTTGATGTCTGTCAGACGCTGTTAACCTTGCTGTTTCCTTATCTTCTTGTGGTGAAGAAATGATTTAGTGATTGCAGCAAATGCGAGGGGAAGGGAGGGGAGGAAGAAGGGGAGGAGGAGGGGGGGGGGGGGGTGGGGGGAGATGGTGCGTGGACAAGTATTAGATTTATGAAACAGAGATGTTTTTAAGTAGCTCTCTCCAATGCTGGAGCTTTCTTAATGCACAGAGCAATACTTCGTTGGTTTCTAAAGCAATGCACAGCTGGGTGGGATTTAGTTGAAAGTCTGCCACCTCAGATATCTCCTGGCCCCATCTGTGGCTTAAACTGGATGAACAGGTCTGGAGCAAGGTGCAGAAAACTCCTTTTGTCTGAGGGAGCTGTCCCAGAATATAACGTTTCGTTCTGGGTCCACAGAGCGTGCACAGTGCTTTCCTAAGAGCTGTGAGGTGTCCAGTGATCTGCTCACAGGATCAGTCCTTTTCCTCATCTAGGAACACGATTGACATACTTGGCGTGTTTTCCTAAACTGGAAGGTTTTGATTTATCAGGGCTCTGACTGACTTTGGTTTGCAGGTGGCAGGGGAGCACTCCCTGCGGTCGCTGCGCCCCTTGGTCGCAGGTCCTGGTGGGTCGGTTTCATTCTGCTCCCTTCTCTTTCCCAGCACACCTGCTTGGACTGTAAGAAGAGTTTTTGTACGTCCTGCTCGAGCCAGCCTGAAGGCGGGCCCCTTCTCTGCCACCTCTGCCAGCGGTTCCGAGCCACGGCTTTTCAGCGGGAGGAGTTGATAAAGATGAAGGTGAAGGACCTGCGAGACTACTTGGCACTCCATGAGATTTCCACAGAGTTGTGTCGTGAGAAGGAGGACCTGGTCTTTCTGATTCTCGGCCAGCAGCCTGTAATTACGCAGGAAGATCAGATAAGAACAAATCCATTTAGTACTAGTGCCTCTGGACAGCAAGACTTTGTCATTCTCCCACCGACCAGCACAGCGTCTTCTACCTCACATGATGCGCCTCCAGTGTCTGCAGATCCCATCTCAAGTTCACTAGCTCAGGAAAATCAACAGGTAAGTCTCTGGCCAGAAGCATCTTTTGCAGACTCATTCGTCTCTGGTTTTGGATTTAGGAAGATGTTGCACAAGGTTTTCCAAGCAGATAGTGGACCAAAAAGTTTTACATTAAAGGTGCCCAATTAAAAAGCAAGAGGCCGCCTTAGAACAGGTGATGAAATACTTCAATTAATACCTGCTTTTCTTAGGTTTGCTTTTAATTCTGAAGTGAAGACCTCACTCTTTCTTACAGAATCATGAGGCAAGTCAGACGAGTTCATTTACACTGCCTTGCTGCGTAAAACTGTGACTCGCTGGCACCAACTGGGATGTGCTGTTCCCTTCCTGCACCAGGGGAATTGACTTTGGTGGGCAGCGGAGTATATTGAACACTCACTCCAAGAACATCACTATTCCGAGATGTGTTTTTTCTGGTGCTCTGCTCCACACTTGCCATTCCCACGGGGTCCTCCTGTGAGCGGTTCCTCCGGTCCCTGGTGTCTGCGCTGGTGCACAGCTCTGTCGTGGGTGTCGATGCTGACAACCTTGTGACAGCTGTGGGTAGGCATCAGAGGAGATGATTTTTATTGCTCTTTAATTGGCCTGCAAGACAGTGAGTGCAGTTTAAAGCGACTTTGGAACTGAAACTGATGAGGAAGATGATTGCGAGATGAGTGGGATTTTTGCCGCCTTCTGCACTTAGATCCACAGAAGGCAAACCCCAAGGCTGTTGTTAAGGCTTCAGTTCGTGGTGAACCCTGCGGTTCTGACGAACCTTGTCAGGGGCATTTGAACTGAATTATTTTTTATTGACTTTGCTTTGTTTGCCTTTCTGCTCTCTGGTATGGCAAGTTTACTCAGTGTTTGACATCTGCTCCTAGTCCTGTTACGAAGTTAATAGGCGCACAGTTCCCTGTGAAAGTGCAGGTACCTTCTGCTTCCTCAGCAGATAGATCTGAGTGCAAAGGAGGAGTTTTCCTGGGAAGATGCTTTTTACAAATTAAGAGGCCTTTAAATTCTCTGGTGTTCTGGATATTGCCATTACAATTTTTACAAGCAAATTCAGCTTTGCTCTCTTCCCGTACCGTCCCGTGATAGGTTTCAACTTCTTGCCTCTACTTGCATGGATGACATCCTGCTACAGTTCAGGCTCTCTCACCATTCCTGTTACTCTTCTGCTTTGTAAATATTAACAAGTCACCGCGTACATAAGTAGGATGGTAACATTACAGTCTGCTTTGTCAGCAGGGAAACCACAGAGGGGAACGATAGCTGCTGAGGGCCAGTTGACTAGAATTACACTGCAGTTTAATGAAGAGCTCAAAGCAACGGCCCCTTCTCGTTCTGCAGCTTTGTTTTTGCTGGTCCAGTCTAGAACCCACCCAGGAGGGGTTTTTGGGTGGCTGCTTTGAAGATGACCTGTAGACTTTGAGCTGGGTTACGCAGGAGGCTCATGCAGAACCTCGTGCTGGTAGCCAGCGTGCCGTCGGAGCTGCGGTGTCGCACCAGGTCACACTGAAACAGCTCAGCGAAGGATTGCCTGTGTGTGTATGTGTGTATATGTGTATATATGTACACACGCGTGTATAAATTTAGTCTCCTCCTGCTCCAGCCTCACAAAAGCATCGTGGGATCTTACTGTACAAGTACTCTGCCAGGGTTTGAATAAAGCAGGGCTTTAAAGGGTCAGATGCTGCACTTCTGTTTGAAAAAGTTTTACTTGCTGAAGGTTTGTTTTTGTAAGCGCTGCCCAGGCAATACCTGCTGCGAGGGTGCCTCCCTTTTCCCTTGCGCTGCAGCTTGTCCTTCCAGGGGGCGAGGTTTGCAGTCACGCTGAGCCGTCGCGCTGATTTTCCTTCGGACACGCACAGGTGGTTGAAAGCTGTTGGTGAAAGCTTTATTTCCTCTTGTAGGCAAATGGGTACGTGCCTCCAAGCCCAGTCGATCTGACAGGAGTTGAGAATGCAGCAGAAGCACCAACAGAGGAGGAGACAGAGGTTTGTGTATCCTGGAATGAGATGTCAGGGAATGCCAAGCAGAATCATTGCTGGAGATTCGAGGGGCTGAACAGTCCTTCAGACTGGCAGACCCAATCAACCCCTTCCTTTTGGCATCATCTTGTCCTCCACCTACAGAGACAGCTGGTGTCACTTGGGCGCTATAATAACAGAAATGATTTATTTCCATCCTAGCACTTGTTTTTCTGATACGTGGAGAAATTCTCTGAGTTCTGTGTGCATCCAAACATGCATTCCTGCTAGTGCACCTGTAGAAAGTAGATTTAAAGTGTAGTGCTAAGTGGTGAGGGTGAGAATCATTCCATCCTTGTTCCCTTTCAGTCGACTGACTCAGAAGATAACCTGGTGCAGGGGAGGAAGGCTTCTCTTTCGGATCTAACGAGCGTCGGAGACATCCATGCACTCTCTGTGCGACAGCTGAAGGAAATTCTTGCTCGCAACTTCGTCAACTACAAAGGCTGCTGTGAAAAGTGGGAGCTGCTAGAGAGGGTGACTCGTCTTTATAAAGAGAAAGACCTTCAGCATCTAGGTAAGAAACTCGGCAAACGTGTGCCTGTTTCTCAGGTTTTCCCAGCTGCAGAAAGAAATAATCTCATCTTACCTTGCTGTTCGTGAAAGCAAGGAGAAAGGCAGGAGTGTTGCACGTGTTAGAGTGCAAACACCTGAACTCTGTTCACCACCACCTGCGCTGATTTGAGAACAAGTGAGAAATGGGCGCCCTCTGTGCCCGTCACTGCGTCACCCGCGGAGGCGCTGATGCGGGACTGCAGGTGGGTGACTGAGCGTGGGGCTGAGCTCTGGTCTGCTGGCAAAGCGAGCAGGAAAACGCCCCCGTGGCAGCCGTTCCCACTGCTGAGCAGTTGTGGTTCCCTGTGCTTTCCCTCCGTCATCTTCATCTCGAGAACATTCCCCTGGGCTCTCCCTGCTCCTGCCATCGCTGGGTGAGGGGACAGAGGATGCATCTCCCTTGTCAGGTGCCTGTTTGCAGTTCTAGTGATTAGTTTGAAAAGACAGAGACTTGCAGATTATTTACAGGAGAGACATATTTTACGACTTCGGCTTCATAGATGGGTCTCAGCGTTGCTGTTTCTGAAACATCTCTCACTAAGCTTTCTTCTCTGTGAATGATGGAGGATTTAAGACAATGGCTTTGGTTTTATATTCTTCTTTCATTGTATCTTGTGCTTTTGACAGAACGTATCCGTTTCTCTTAGTCACCGTTGCCTGTGGGTGTGTCTCGGCTGTGCTCGGCCGTGTTGGTGAGGTTGTGTAACGCCAAAGAAACTGGTGCAAGGGGCACTGAAAGTGCAGTTCTGGGAAACCAAACACCGTAGCTATTCCAAGGCGGTCTTAAAACTGTGATGTTGCTTTGTCTGCGTTAGCGATGGTGTAAGCTCAGTAAAAGAGAAAGTTTCTTTCCAGTTGAACAAGTGATCCTGATCAGAGATGGGCATCAGCAAAAGCTGTTTTGGTTTAGTAATCTCCTTTCAGGGCTTCCAGCTCCTGCTTAACAATACTGCTCAAGTAAACCTTGTTTCCAGCTTCTCTTAATCTCACCAGATAATTTTCTTTTCTTATTTGCAGTTTCTGATACAGACGATCAAACTGGTAAGTGATATTTTCTACCTAGAATTAGTTAGATTGGAAAAGACCTTTACGATCATCGAGTCCAACCCATAACCCAGCGCTGCCAGGCCCAGCACTAACCTGTGGCCCTGAGAACCTCATCTCCACGGCTTGTAAATCCCTCCGGGGTGGGGACTCCACCTCTGCTCTGGGCAGCCCAAGCCAGGGCTTGACAGCCCTTTGGGTGAGGAAGTTTTTCCTAATGTCCAACCTAAACCTCCCCTGGAGCAGCCTGAGCCTGCTTCCTCTTGTCCTGTCACTTGTAAGAGGGACCCATGTTGCTTCATTGGCCTCACTGCTAAGAATCTCAGCAGTGTTTCTGTTTTCATCACCTGGAAATTACTGTGTAAAAGCAAAAACTTTCCACTTCTTGCCAGTTGAGGGAGCAGATATATCCACATTAGTGTAGACCCAAGGGGAGTTTTCTTTCAGACCTTCAGTGTGCAGAAGTACGTTAGGGAAGCCCTTTGATAAAGCCGACTCACAGATTGCCCAACGCCGACGTCCCTTTCTTTGTCTCACACCAGTTGTGGTCTCTCGTTTCCTCAGGTGGTGCCGGGCTCCCCGGCAGGGAGGACAACCTCTGCAAAATCTGCATGGACGCCCCCATCAACTGCGTCCTGCTGGAGTGCGGCCACATGGTCACGTGCACCAAGTGCGGGAAGCGGATGAGCGAGTGTCCCATCTGCAGGCAGTACGTGATCAGGGCCGTGCACGTCTTCAAGGCCTAAAGTGCCCCCACGGGAGACTGGGGCTGCCCTGAAGCCTCGTCTGCTCTTCAAGAAATGGTCGCAGTGGCTACAATATCAGGGCAG